TTATAAAGATAATAATTAATTATTTTGTTAGAACTCGATAATTATCTTAATTATATTTTAGATTTTTTATATTTTAAAATGTGATGTTTATCCTATATTTAATTATGTTTATCCGCAGTTAGTTACACTAATTCAAACATGAAACTTTAATAAGTTGTATTTATGTATAATTTACTTATAATTTTGAATTTTAAGTAATATGCATCAATAAATAGTACTTCATGCATAAAAAATGATTTTTATAGTTTTTATCAAATGTATAATATAGTATAAATATGAATATGAGATATAATAATATTCATATAATATATCTATATTTAACATATGATGGTTTATTTATTAGATAATATGAGATATAAAGAAAGTAGATAAAAAATGTAAAAATAATCTGAACAAGTGCAAGAATGGTAAACCTCACCAAAAGTAAAAAAAATGTGTGAGTTTTTTTTTTTTTTGTTTTTTTAATAATATTATTTTTTATCAAGATAATAATTAAGTATTTTGTTAGAACTTAATAATTATCTTAATTATATTTTAGTTTTTTTAAAATAAGATGTCTATCATCTATTTGATTATGTTTATCTGCAGTTAGTTACACGAATTCAAACATAAAGTTTTAATAAGTTATACTTACGCAAACTTTACTTGTAATCTTGATTTTTAAGTAATATGCATCAATAAACAGTACTTCATTCATAAAAAATAGTTTTTAAGAGTTTTTATCAAATATTTTATAATATAATATAGATATAGATATATGTGTGTATGTATATATATACATATATATATATATGTATTTATACCTATACATATACATATATGTATACGCACATGTATATGTATATGTCAGGACGTAATCAAACGAGAACTTCATAAAATATTGCTTTATATTAAAATAATGTTTTATATTATTTTTTCTCGTCTAAGACTAAAATTTAATTTATTAATAAACATATGTTTGTTTCACAATGAATTGTTATTTCATATGTAATCGGTTCACAATACGAAACTTATTTACGTGTAATTTTTGTTTTACAAACATGCTAAATAGTTTCACATCGTGAAACAAATACGTTGTGAAACAAATATATGTGAATCATGAATAGAATATGATGCACTAGTTCTCAGGACTGTCATAATTTTATGCATTATCAAAAAAAAAAATATATATATATATATATATATGTATATACATATATATTGTAGGTATGCAATGCAACAGGGTCCAATTTCATATGACCACATATCCAAATTCTTGTAATAGAGCTTTGTGCATACAAAATTTAATTTAAATGGGTTTATATTGAATAAATTTAATTTTAGAACATGAAAAAGAGAGAACCATTTGTCGTGAACAGGAACCACTTTGGGTAAGGGTTTCTAGACCTCAATTATCATCCCTATCCACGTCTTAATTTGTATCTATATTCCCATCTCCATCGATTGAGGGGTATTCAAAGTCTACACGATTATGTTTTTATGAAATATATATATATATATATATATATATACAACAGATTAAAAAAGCATATAAATCAGGACTCCACTCTTGTGTGTGTTAGTGTGTGTGTGTAGCCATGTATGAACCTCTCTTCAATAACAAGTTCACAAATGCACTTTTCTTCTACTTCTGCATGCTACTTTTGCTTCTCTTTTCCCCATTTCTTTTCATTTGGGAGCTCATCAACACCCTCCGATCATGTTTCCGGCCTACGGAAAACATGGCCGGAAAAGTCGTTTTGATCACCGGTGCTTCGTCCGGACTTGGAGAGGTTCGTAAACTATAAACCCTAAACTGGTGCCTCTTTCATGATAGAAACTATCACAACTTTCTTTAACTTACTCTATCAATGGCAGCACATGACCTATGAATATGCAAAAAGAGGTGCATGTATAGCTCTAATTGCGATAAAAGAACCAGAGTCTAGACTCGAGAAAGTGGCAGAAAGAGCTCGTGAACTCGGCTCTCCGGATGTCCTTTTTGAGTTCGCTGATGTATCGAATGTTGATGAGTGTCGGATGTTTGTTGATGACACCATTAAGCATTTTGGTCAATGTGGGTAACCGATAATCTCGAGATCAATTATTTTTTCGAACTTTTGGTAATCGAGATTGATCGTTTTGTATTGCAGTGGATCATCTTGTTTGTAACGCGGGAATCGGACCCTTGTATTCGATGAAGATTGACGTCACCAAATTCATACCTGTTATGGTATGTTCCTTTAAACTGTCCCCAACTTCGTAGCAAACATCTATGACATACAAATTTATCGTTTTTAAAAGACATCTTGAAAACACTCGTCATCTCCAAAGCACGCAAGGCCTCATGAGCCCTGACCTCGCCACCACCCCGAACCGGCCAATCCATGTTGGACAAAGTCAGACCATCGGTCCTTTTACAAACCATTTCTTTTTAAGAAATGGTTTGTAAAATTTCTTTCTTCTCTAGTTTAATTCTCAGTAATAATTTTTAAAAAACACCGGTCTCGTTGTTAGGAGATCAATTTGAGTTTTTTAAATTCAATTACTATATTATAAAATATTTGATAAAAACTTTTAAAAATCATTTTTATGTATAACTACTGTTTGTTGATGCACATTACTAATAATTGAAGATTACAAGTAATTTTGCATAAGTACAACTTATTAAAACTTCATTTTTAAATTTGTGTAATTAACTGTAAATAAACATAATCAAATACAGGATAAACATTCATTTTGAATATAGAAAATATAAATTATAATTAAGATAATCATTAAGTTTTAACAAAATATTTAATTATTATCTTTATAAAAAATTATATTATTAAAACAAAAATAAATTACTTTATTATTATTTTTAAATTAACGTATAATAAAAAATAGAATTAAAAAAATTACATATAAAATCGTATTACATCAATAAAAACGGATGGAACACATATTTTAACTAGAGACCCCTCCTAGCATTGAATGGGCGTTGTATTAACTTTATCGGCAGATTAAATAAATGATGGGGTATGTCTTCATCTAAGTACTCGTCACCTTAGCTATATATTAAATAAGTGATGATGAGTTGGATGGGATCGGTTGTACTGATCTATACTTTATTATAAAGTATTTAATAAAAAAATTAAAAATAAATTTTTATATATAAATTATTGTTTATTAATACATATTACTTAAAATTTAATATTACAATAGAATATTCATGAATACATCATATTAAAGTTTCATGTTTGAATTTGTATAATTAACTGTAAATATACATAATTAAATACATGATAAATATAACTTTAAATTTAAAAAATAATTAAAATAATAATTGAATTCTAACAGAACTTTTAAATAGTTAATTTGATAATAATGTCGATTATTTCTTTCAAAATTTTATAATATCTTCAAATTTATTTTTCATTCAAAAATAAAACATTTTATTATTCTCAAAACCATATAAAAACGCATTATAGCATCGATAGACCCAAAATATAAAACGAAACATTAAAATCAAGATGTATCTCGATGCATTGCACGAGTACCCTTCTAATTTTAACAACTCACTCAATTATTTTGAAAAGGAAATTACTTTGATTTAGAAAATAGCAAGACTTCCTTATAACAATTTTGAATCCATAATAGTCTATTCATTATTTTTGGCCACAAGGAACTCCAAAATATATGCTATCATCATAAAAACTATATGCATCAAGAAGCTTTACTTTTAAAATAGCCAAAAAATCGTAAGTTAACATTGTAATGCATTTTTTTTTTGCGGTTTCTGATATTTTTTTGGAGCACCCAAATGAAAAGCAGGCCTACCAAAAAAATGAATTGAGACATGTACCACTACGGCATCGCAAGAACATGCATTGACGTACAAAAAAACAAGCAAAATATTTTTTCGAAATTTAAAATAGCCAAAAAATCGTAAGTTAACATTGCATTTTGTAACATGCAAATATTTTTTCGAAATTTAAGAAACACATCTAACATCATAAAAGTAAAAGTGGAGTTTCATTCTGTAGTTACATTTAAAACCAACCACCCCTTGTGTATTTAATTCTTTCTCTCTCAATACAAGCTTTGAGTTTTTGCAACATTAAAGAAGATAACAAAATATATCTCACACAATTATTTATGCGTTTTTACAAAAGTCCTTATCCACCTATTATAAGTTAGAATGCTCTAACTTCTTCAAAAATTCCTTATTAACGGTTTGACACCGGTATAGTTGTTTATTCACACTCAAAAGTGCTTATCATTAGTGTCACACAATAATAAGTCAATAAATTATTTTTGTAAGTAATCCTAAACACCCTCAAATAATAAATAAAATCTTAAATGAATCCAAACATATATATAAAACCAATGGATTTAATTTACGTACAACATACATGTATATTTTGCAGGACATAAACTTTTGGGGATCGATTTATCCGACTCATTTCGCGATCCCGCACCTCCAGAAAACCAAAGGCAAGATCATCGTCAATGCCTCATCGGCCGGAGTGTTGCACCCACCGCGAGGCGGCTTCTACAACGTAACAAACCCGATTCAGACCTATCTACACTTTTTCTGTTTCGTTTTGTTTCTTGTCTAATTTATGACGATAACTCACATCCATCGATGGATCTTGTGATTTCATTATCTTTCAGGCAAGTAAAGCAGCACTGATCGGCTTCTATGAGTCCCTTAGGTTCGAAGTTTCTCCAACAATAACGATCACAATCTTGACACTCGGGTTCATACAAACAAACATCACAACAGCCAAGTATTCAACCACTGGGGTTGGTGTTCATCTAAAAAGAGTAAGTAATAGTTCCTTTTTAATTTTTAAACATATCGATCAACCCTAATGAAACGGATCGATCCAAATCACTTTCCTGCAGGATCTCGCAGATGTATCCCCGTCAATGGGGGTGGAGCCATGTGCCAAAGCCATCGTCGACGGAGTATGCAAAGGTGCAACCTCCATTACACAACCAAGGATCATCAAGTCTCTCTTCTTCATCAAGTTCTTGTTCCCAAAACTACACCATTTCTATTCCAAGACATGGGCAGACCTAGTTAAGTGACATGAGTGGCACGTGCCACCTTATCGTTTCTCCGCCGAAGGGTAAAAAAATTAGGTTTCGTGAATGGTGCAACCGTATTAATTTGTTGTGTGTCACCGTATGTATTTTGAAACTACAATAAGAACAAGTTTTATTTGATAAAGTTGGTTTTTAAGGCTTTTATTCCACTTCACACCCAAGTCTGAATCATGTTGGTGTCATTTTCTTAGTTAAATGGTACCACCGTTTGAAAAAAATTCCGTATATTTGTTTCTTATTGAAAAAAAAATCCTAAATTTTTTTTCTTATGGTCAAATGGTGTCACCGTTTAAAAAAAATTATGGGTCCATCCCTATTTCAAGACCTATTTCCCTACAAAGGTTCCAATACTTGAAAAGAATCGATAAACTTGATCTTTCCAAGATGGTTGGTATTATTATCGGGTGTCAGGTATTAAGTCTGGTTCGAACTTTAGGTGTTTTTCTCTTTAATTATTGTATCATCAACTTTTTTGTTTAAGTTGATTATATCATCGAGGTCCAAGGATTAAAAATCAGACATATTTTCACTTGAATAATCACTTATATCATAGCTAGGATCATCACGACAATCATCGTTATAATCACGAACCTGGATGATGGCCGATTGGCAACGACGGCCTACGGTGGTGGATCTTGAAACTTTGGTGATGGGGGTTGGAATTTAAGTAACATAATATTATAAGAATCATTACCACTGGTATCGGTTCTGAATGTTGACATTTTCTTTTAAAAGTATTTTCATTTTTTCTGACAAGTTACACTACAACAAGATTGGCTTTATAGGATGTTTAGATTGTCTAATCGGCCTAATAGAACTTGGGTTTATAGGACCAAAATTATAAAACGTCCTATCTAAAAGCGTTGTAATAGATTTATAGAACGTGTTTGGGAGTTTTAGCTAGTTTTTAAGGACGCTCTTAAAATAAAATGTCTCATTAGCTATTTTATAAGATATTTTTAGTAAGTGTCCTATAAACCCATGTTTTTATAGGGCGTTTATGTTTATATGACACTTTTTAAAATATTGTCGTATAAAATAGTTAATACGACACTTTATTTTAAAAGTGTCCTAAAAAACTGGTTACATGACTTAAAAACATCATACAAACCATTTGTAAATCTTTAGATAGGGCGTTTTCAGATTTGGGCTATAAAGTATCTTTTTTAGGACGTTTTTGGATTTGGGCTATAAAGTAGCTTTTTAGTACGCTTCTAGGTTTTAGGTGTCCGATAAAATCATTTTTGTTGTTGTGTTAATATAACAATTTTCCGAACATATTTCTTTTTTCTAACGACATAATAAAACAACTAACCTTAACCACAAGGATGGTGCCTGATTGGTTCAAATCCTAGGAATAAAAATCCCCTTGTGGCCATGGAGGTTCAAATGCGGTGACTCCGAACTATTTGCAAAGCAGATGATCGCCCTGGAATTAATCGGCTCGCATAATGAGTTGGATATACAGGTTAATAGAAAAAACAACAACTAACCTTTAGCCAAATAATTAACAAAAACTTAACAATCAGACAATGAAGGTTCAAGCATATTTGGTGTTTAGCAACTTTCTATGGACCAAGGGTTTTATTGGAATTATGTTAAAATTGAGGGTCAAGCCAGTAAATTTTGGGGTCGAAACACAATTTATTTACAAAAGATAAAAGTTATTATCAAAAAACAATTCTTTAGGGGGATGTTATGGGGGTCAGGTGACCCCCTACCTAAAGAATGAATCCACCTTTGACGGCATCGACTGGTGGCGACTGGCGATGACGGTCTGGACTGGTTGTGACGGCTAGATGGTGGTGACGGTGAGTGCAGGTTGGGCTGGGGGCGGCAAAGATAGGTGGTGCTCAACGGGAGTGTCACATTGAAGGGCGGGGGCGTGGGATGGGACAATTAGGTTAGGGAAATTAGTTTTTAGTTGTTTTTTTTTTTTAATTTAACTGTTACATGCCAAGCAGTAGAGATGGCCAAATGGGCCCGGCCCGGCCCGTAACCGCTGGAGGACCGGAACCGGGACCGGAGAGGGACCGGAACCGGCCCGGGACCGGTATGGACCGGTTGTGGACCGCCGGTTATGAACCGGTTATGGATTTTAACCTTTTTTAGGACCGAGACCGGTTAAGACCGGAACCGGTTACGTAACCAGCTATAGGATCGGCCCGGCCCGGTCAACAAAAGTCAACGTGTATATATATATATAACAAAACGTATTTATAAAATTAAACGTATATATATACATATATATATATATAACAAAACATATTTTTAAACGTATTTATAAAATTAAACGTATACATATATAACAAAACATATTTTTAAACGTATTTATAATAAAACGTATTTATATAAAACATATTAAAAATAACATATTAAAAATAAATATCTTTAATTTTATAAATACGTTTAAAAATATGTTTTGTTATATATATATATATAAATTTATTAATTACCAAAAATTTGAAAAAAAAATATTTTTTTTTTGCAAAGGACCGGTCGTAACCGGTTATGGGACCGGACGGCGTAACCGGTTATGGGCAAGCTTGACCGGTTATAGTGTTTTTCATCGGAACCGGGACCGGTTATAGAGGGACCGGTTATAGACGGTTTTTGTCCCGATTAGGACCGGCCGTAACCGGTTAAGGCCCGGCCCGGGACCGATTTTTGGCCATCTCTACCTAGTAGGTTGCGGATTAATGGGTTATTTAAGGGTCGTCTACCAAACACTTACGTGGTAAGCGCTTACTGGTAAATTTAATACTATCATTTACTTATCGGATAAGATTTTAGTCCACCAAAACGGTATCGTATGCAACAATTTACCCGGTAAGCGCTTACCGTGGTAAGAGTCGTCGTCTTCACTTACCGGGTAAGACTCTTGGTCTTTGTCTCGCTCTTACCAGGTAAGATTTTTTATCATTACCATATTCAGTCGGTAAGGTAAAATGACTTGGTGTTCACTTACCCGAGTAAGCGTTTGGTAAACGGCCCCTTAGTTGTTTTTTTTAATTTAACTGTTACATGCCTAGCAGGTTGCGGGTTGAGAGGTTGTTTAGTTTTTTTTTTAATTTAACTGTTACATGCCTAGCAGGTTGCGGGTTAAGGGGTTGTTTAGTTGTTTTTCATTAAGTCGTGTATGGATAAAGTTGACTGTGTTGATTAGTTCGTCTGTATAGATTGAGATCGCCAAGTTTGGAAGAAAAAAAAAACTTGTCTTTCTGCATAAATCTCCCCATTAGAACCTTACTGACCACGTCATTTCTATATCATTAAGTCATTGTCAAATAGTCATGTATAGTTGATTGAATAAGCTATAATTGACCGAATAAGTTGAGTCTCATTAAACTTGTTAAGTTGCCAACAAACAGACCCTAAGTCTTTATCTAGTAAGGACTAGTTTGATATGTTTTAAAATGTCCAATGAATTATTCATTCAAAAAAATTGTTCAATGACTTAATCATTCAAAACACAAAAGTCCATTGAGCTTCTTTGAACTTTTCCTTGAAAAGAAAGACCGATTTGTTTCTAAGATGTAACACCTAGACTTAACAAATACCTTAGAGCATCTCCAACAGCTATGTTATTTTAGGAATTTTTAAGATTTGGGAAAGTTTGCTTCAACGGACATGCTTCTAAATTCGAGAGAAATGGAAGAGAGAAAAAAGAAATATCCAAATTTAAAAGAAAATAGATAAAATATAACATACTTGTTTGAGATGCTCTTATTTCTATATTAGGTGACATGTGATGTTTGAATACACATATAAATGGGCCAGAGGAGAAGTTTACCAAATGCTTACTTGGATAAGTGAACACCAAGTCATATTGTCTTACCGGATGAATATGGTAAGGATTAAGAATCTTACTCGGTAAGAGCGAAACAAAAATCAAGAGCCTTACCCGGTAAGTGAGGGCGACGGCTCTTACCACGGTAAGCTCTTACGAAGTAAATTGTTGTATAGGATACCGTTTTAGTGGACTAAAATCTTACCCAATAATTAAATGATAATGTTAAATTTTACCGATAAGCACTTACCGGGTAAGTGTTTGGTAAACGGCCCCTAAGTCGAAGCGGCTAGAACTTCTCCTCCAACGTAGCTAGTAAGGCTCGTATTGTGATAACCTTTCTAATAGATTCTCTAAAGTAAAGAAAATTGAGGTTTTATTCTCTAATTTGCTCCAACAGATTCTCTATATTGTTCCTTAAAATAGAAAAACATGAAAAAACTTCAAGTTTAAAGAAATTTGTTGAATACTGAGAAGTGATTTATTATTCATTTCCACCAAGGAAATTGAGTTATTATAATTTTATATTTTAAAAGTTCATTGAGATGATAAAATTATTGATTATTCCAATAATATAATTATAATTGGAATCTCTAAAATAGAAAATCTGATGGAATTGAATATAATTTTTTAGAGATATTGACTTCTGATTCTCAATTTTAAATAAATTACAGAAAAACTAGTATAGATATTCTAATTATTCGTTACGTCTAATTCATTCGACAAAAAGCAGTTATTTAATCAACTTATAATGCTTAACTTCGTTGGGTCTAATCCAACATCTCATGCATCATATGCGTTTATAACTGATATCAACAGTTCTTTTATAAGACATAATGATTTAGACTAGTAACACACGAAATAATCCGACAATCATATGCTATTCTCATAAAACAAACACACGACACCTTTACGGAAAGCGTGTATGGTGTTAGCTCGTTTTTAGTTAGTAATGTCGACCATCAACGTGATATACCTATCCCCAAGATGTCCCTTGTCATATGATTAACATGTTTGATGTTACATATCCAGAGACCACGACGTTCTAATCTCAAAAAAAAAAAAAAAAAAACTAAACAAGACCTTTTATATTATTCTTTTTGATAAATACAGATTTTACGTAATTTACACTGGTATTAACTTATTTCATTATAATATTTATTAAATAAAAAAGGAAAAGAAGACCAAATTATATGTGCAAATGATACCTAAATAGCAAAAGTGATGGTAGATTTGTTTGTGTTTCCTTATTTA